TTAATTTAAAAATCTTAATTTATGGTTAAAATTAAATATTTAAAACTATGTAATGCTAAGCAACAAACCCTCTAATATATATTAAAAAAAAGAAGTGCAGGACGGCAAGTTTTAGCATAGGGATACATAAATAATTAAATTTTAGTAAGGGATGCCGAACTAGCTAAACCTATGTAATTAAGGTTTAGCGTTGTCAAAGAAAATAACAATAGTTCAATAACAACTCTATATAAGTACTCCATTTCTTGAAAAGTTTTGGGTCTAACCATTTTGGTAATATTAATTAGAGACAATTTGTGGTTTATTTGACAAATAAATTTTTTATATTTCAACATTTTAGAAGTTTTATTTATTTATTTATTTTAAATTGCATAATAAGAAGCAATGTTCTTTTATTTTAGAATTTATTCATTTTAATTTTTAACTCTTATCACAGTTTTAATTAACACTTATTTAATTAGTTCTAATTTTATTTTTTTCCTTTAATAATACCATGTATTATTATTTTTTTATTTTTTACATTAATTTATCATAAAAAATTATATTAGCTAAGTAAATAAAATTTGCTAATTAAACAAAATGATTAAAATTTTGTTTTTTTATTTAAAAAAATATAATTTTTTCTTTGTTAAAATTATAAATAAGTATATGATTACACTTTTATATTTTATTTTATTTATTTATTTTCTTATTATTGTTTTTATAGAATAAATAATTTTAATAATAAAAAATATTAAAAAATACATTTAAACATGTTCTTATTAATCATTTAATGTTAAGTAATAACCGTTAACTATTATATAACCCAACAATTATATCAATTAAAATTTCCTATCTACTATCTATTATACTTGCTTTTCGTTCTCCATCACTCACTATCCGCAACACTTCTCATTATTTATCATCTGTTATTTATTATTTACCAAATTTTAACCATTATATCAAATAGATTCAAAAATAAATTACTAAAAGAGGGATATATTAATTTTTTTTATGAAAAAGAAAGCATTTTTAATGTTTACCATCATGGAACGTGAGAGGTTTGTGAAATGGAATTGGAATTGTCACTGTAGTATTTCGGGTGGGAAATGGTTGAATACAATTGACTCTAAGTGTGAGGGGTAATTAACATGAAAAAAGGGGTTTATTATGTTGGATTGCATTTTTTGCATTTTAAAAGTGTAGTTTGACTATTAAAATTATTAAAATGCTCTTAATGATATTTTTTATGTTATTTATTAAGAGTAATTATGTTTATTCATTAAAGATAATTTAGTAATTTCAATGTAAGAATTGCACTCTTAACGTGCAGTTCATACTAAAATACATGAATATCAATTAATATGTATTATTGGATTGCTTTAAAAAAATTATATTAATTCAATAAGCATATTGCACGAGACGATCCTTCCTCCTATGCTTTTTTGGAATCTCTAGATTTTTGTAGCTTTTTGTTTGGTTTTAGTTTGATGGTTTTATTCATTTCTGTAGTAGTTTAAGCGGATATATAGTCGCTTCTCTTCTGAGCCAAAAAAAAAAAAACAAAACAAAAACGAAAAAGGGAAGAAGTAGATGGTAGAGTAGTAGTAGATGAACAGCTTTGAGAATTGGGGTCGTATTAAAGATAATCCAAAAATAAAGGGTCTCTACCATTTTTGGAGATAATCCTGCTGGTTTGTTGTTTTAGTATTATCTTCTATGTTTGAAGGGAAATATTTTTTGTACAATTTTTTTATACCACCTTATGGTATTACCTGATATATTATTAAAATGATTAATTTTTTTAATTTATATAAGATTCGTAATATTAAATGCATTCACTCATTTAATGATATAAAAGTTATCTAAAAAAATAAAACAAAAAAAATTATCCTTATAGTACTACCCATGTTTAAATGGAGGGAAAATTGCAACTTTATACATTGATAGTTTCTTCAAATCAGGCATGGAGAGATAGATCATTTTTCACCGCACGTACATTAGGTAGATATAGTGAAGTAATTGGAGAAGTTAGACTGGGCAGAAGAGGCCTGCGTTTGGAGCCCATTAAATTGGGCTAAAAAAAAAGTGGATTAAATTATATTCGGCCTTAAAGAGTGCTCTATTTAGGTATATTTTAAAGATTTGATTGAAGGTAGACAGCAGAGTAGTAAATAAAAAGATACATCATTTAAAAAAACTTATTTATTTATTTAAAGATTTATGATAATTATTCATTAATAATAGTGTGTGTCTTATATGAACACATATAATTTAATGATTGGAATAATTTCAT